ATTTTGGGAATGATGAGGGCAACAAATGTATAGATGTGCTTTACACAATTGATCTATGTATTGTGATAAATTGTATGAGCCCCAATAAATTGATTAATTAAAAAAATAAAAATAAAAAATAAAATGCTCAATTTAAAAAAAAAAAATTTTTTTTCTTATTAAATACTTTTATTGGGGGCTCTTACATCTCTTATCACTAATCCACACATTCTTCCATTGTGCCAAACACATTTGTACATATGTTGCCATCATCATTTTCAAAGTATTTTCTTTCTACTTGAGCCCTTGGTATCAGCTCCTCATTTTATCCCCCTGCCTCCCCCACCCTACCTCCCTCATGAACCCTTGATAAGTATTTCTGATGGTCTTAGCAACTGAGACACCCACGGCTTAACAGGGGTATGTAATCTTGGGCATGCAAGTCATGTCAAACACATACATAACAGGATGAGGCTTACACTTGACAGGATGGGCAGGCTCTAAAGTTAACATGGCAGCTTAACCTTGTCTGCCTCCTGTCTCTGAGCTGGCTTGATCTTGGGTGTCCCTGAGCACATAGCCTTCACGCAGTTAACCTTTCAGAGTATAGTAGTGCCTGGTAAGGCGTGATCAAGGGTAATGTAACAAAGAGGAATTACTGAAACCCAAATGAAGACTGAGCATGATAGTGGGACAAGAGGAAAGTCAAAGGAACAGAAGAAAGAGCTAGGAGGCAAAGGGCATTTAAAGAAGTCTAAATAAAGGCATGTACACATGCTGAACATTCAGCTTGAAAGCTGCTTTAGAGAAACCAGCCAAGACGTCTTACAGAAAACAGGGAGCAGACTGATGTAATAATGACAATAATAGATTATATAAACACAGGCACAGACATTACATATATATACAATGTCAATGTTCTAGCCTTCTAAGGAATCATAAATAAGAATTCAATAAGCATAGCCCATTATAAGTTAAAGCCAAAACCAGAAACGAGGTAACAATGGCCGATCCAAGAGGCGAACAAAGCACTTACCAGAGGAATGGGAGTATTTGGATCAAATTCTGTGGAATCAGCATCTAAGGTTCAAGACAAGAGTTTCATTACGAACCATTCGTGCTGAAAATGTTTTCTTTTAATAAGAGATGAGTAGCAAATGTCAGCCTTACCTTTCCAGTTCAGGCAGTTTCTGGCATACTCTATCACCGCTAGCTGCATCCCAAGGCAAACTCCTGTTTTGAAAAGCACGGACAAAAGGAGATGAACATTGGCAGTTCTTCACAACGGGAAACGCAGACTTCTCAAATGGCCCTGCAACTCCATTCATTCCTACTCAAGGGAACTCAAGGCAGTAAAACACCCAGCTACCTACTGAGACCCCAGCGCCCACGGCAGCTCGATTCACAATAGCCAAAAGGTGGAACCCACCCAAATGTCCATCAACAGATGACTGGCTCCCCCCAAAGGCGGCCCATCCACCCTATGGCATCTTTCTCAGCCACCCAGGGAAATGCAGTCCTGATCCATGCCACGACTTGGATGAGCCTTCAAAACAGGATGCTGGCTGCCAGATGCCGACACAAATGGACAAAGATTACAGGGCCCCAGTGGCGAGACCTATTTAGACTAGGCAAATGTACCAAGACCCAAGTTAATGTGTGGGTCCCAGGGGTGGGGCAGACAGAAAAGGAGGAGTTGTTAGCAAAGGGGTGCTCAGGGTGATGATGAGCTTTGGGGAATGGATAGGGGTGACGATTACAAAGCATGATCAATGTAATTCATACCACTGAGATGGCTAAGGTTTAATTCTAATTTACTGCCCCCAAAAAACAAGGTAAAAGAGTGTGCTTTGTGTTTTTATGTGTCGTTTCTGCTTGTGGGATTAGCTCTCCATCTCCTCTACGTGGAAGTACGCTCTTTTAGAGCAAGACTTGGCCTCTTTTGTTCATTGTTGTATCTTCCCAAGGGGAAAGGGGATGGGGGGACCAAGGGTCAACCTAACTCTGAAGTCCTTTCCCAGGTGAAGTCCAAAGGAGTGCTGGGGCAGATAAGGAAAGGGGCCCCCAAGTTCAGATGGCAGCTTCTGCCCTCTTTCCAGTGTGCCCCACGTCTGGGTCACAAAGCTCCTCCCAGGGTGCCTTATTCTTTCAGAGGCCACCGACCTGTACCCCAGGCCTCACTCTTCTCAAGGCAATTGCTCACCCATAAAAGTACGGACTGTGGGCAGCCTGGGCAGGCCAAGGGCTGAGGGCCTAAGGAGTGCCTACGTGAGGACTGTTTGCCCTGTCGTGTCTGTGGGATGAAGAAAAGCAGGAGCCGAGGGAAGGTGCCCCTGCCACTGTAGGGGGTGGTGTGGCAGTTAGCAGGGAAGGGAGACATGGAATGGCACAGAACAGAGAGTTTAGTAACAGACCAAGGGAAGCTCCAAGCTATTGCTACAGAAATATTCCAGAATCTATCTCTCCAATCCATGTGGGCTCACCAGGAGTGGGTGCACATCAGATTAGAGATAAATCAGACCCACATCGCCAGAATTCCAGGAGCTTACAGCTTACCTCTCCACTAAACAAACGGCAAAGAAACTCCCAGATGTTTCTATAGAGCAGTGGTTCTCAACCTTCCTCAGGCCTTGACCCTTTCATACAGTACTTCATGTGGAGGTGACCCCTCCCCCAACCATAACATGATTTTCGTTGCTACTTCATCACTGTCATTTTGCTACTGTGATACATCGGGTGACCCCTGTGAAAGAGTCGTTTGATCCCCAAAGGGATGGTGACCCACAGATTGAGAACCGCTGCTGTAGATCCATATCAAGTCGACCCACGAGGCACACCAGGACCAAAGCCGGTCAGCATGAAACATGCTCAGAGCTTTAGAGGGACTTGGGGAAAGTTCCATGTGGCGAAGACCAGAAGAGAGGTTGGGTTCCAGAGAAAGCGAAAGCATTTCGGACAATTCTCTTTCCGCAGCAAAATGCTCTGAAGATCCCTAATCTAGCGCAGACAGAAACAAGGCAAGTGATATAGTTAGTTTATTGTGCCAACCAAGCCGATGAACGCATGTGGGGTTAATTGAGGGGCAGAGAGATAAATGGCTCAGTGAGCCTCGCCTTTCTAGTTCTCGGGTCTCTTGCATTCTGATGATCAGGCCAGGGTGCAGCTGCCTTAGCCAGTAATGGGAGGGTAATGGGAGGGAAATAATGCATCTGACTTTCGATTATGAATTAAAATGTGTGTCCCCAAAAGATATAGGGAAGTCTTCACCCTTAGTAGCCATGAATGTTATCTTATTTGGAAATAAGGTCTTTGCAAATGGATTGAAAAACTGGTACATAAAAAAAAAACCTGTGGTACATACATACAATGGAGTACTATGCATCCTAAAAAGCAGTGATGAACGCATGAAGCACATTACCACATGGGAAGAACTGGAAGAAATTATGCTAAATGAAATAAGCCAAACACAAAAGGGCAAGTACAACATGAGTCCACTAAGGTAAGTTTATAAAAAAGAAAAGAAAAGAAAAATGCAAAAGAGGCACAGGGAAAAAGCTACTGAATACAAACACTCCAGGGGTGAGGTCCAGGTAGTATGGCAGGGGCCAGATGAAATCCTGGGGTACATATGGTAGCCAACTAAAAAGGAGGTGGGGGAGAGGAAAGTGGGGGAAAAAGAGAGATGTGTGACGGGGGAATAGGGCTCTGACCCACCCAAGGGGAGGGTATTGTTTGTGTCTCCACGGGGAAGGAGAGACCAGACTTAAATGCCTATTCTGGGATGCAAATGCAGCTTGCCAGCATGGGGGGGCCTGAGGCCTGAGGCCTAATCCCAGGTACTAGACAAATGCCCCTCCCTGCAGAAAATTTACTTTAGAGGACAGCGCTGAAGCTGCAGCTAGGGGAGAGGGACATGTCTGGAAATAAGGTCTTTGAAGAGGTCATGTTGGAGTCGAGTCGGTTCTTGTCCTACAGAACCATGACTAGTACCCCCGGACAAACCAATCTGTCTGGGAAGAAGTCAGGCCAGCGTGCTCCTTAGAGGCAAGGATAGGGAGACTTCGTCTTACATGCTATGGACATGTTGTCAGCAGAGACCTGTCCCTGGAGAAGGGCATCATGCTTGGTAAAGTGGAGGACAATGAAAAACAGGAAAGCCCTCAAGGAGATGGACGGACACCAAGGCGGAAACCATGGGCTCAGGCCTAGGAAGAACCGAGATGATGGGGCAGGACCAGGCAAAGGGTTGCTATGGGTCGGAACCAACTCCATGATGCCTAACAACAAGTGTCCTTATAAAACAGCGCAAGTAACACCAAAAGAGGCAGGAAGACTCCCTGTGCGGCCTCAGCCGTAAGCCAAGGAACATCTTGAGCTACCAGAACAGTAGCGTCTCTCCTACACCCCTCAGGAGGAATAAACACCACTGGTGCCCGGATTTGGACTTGAAGCCCACCGAACGGTCAGATAATAAATTCCTGTTTTTAAAAGAAAAATCAAACATGGGCCAGATTTGGTCTTGTAGGCTGTAGTTTGTCCATCCTTGAAACAGACTATTTAGTGCCAGAATTCTCCAATCTGAGTTTTCATCTTTTCTTCTCCTGTTGACCCCAACTAAGTGGTAAAAATCTAACCGACTCCCCGTTTAAATGATTAAACATGAACTTTACCCAGAAAAGGGATCTTCTTTGTCCTCGCCCAAGAAATTGCCTGGAGTTTGCCCATGGTGCCTCTGATTCCGAAGCCTCCTGGCACAAGAATACCGCTGTAATGGACACAAAATGAGGGTGAGCTTGCCCTGCCTCCTAGCCCAGCCTCTCTTTTCAGCCGCGCACTTGCACTGATCCCCAACCCAATGTTTGGTGTGATCGCTGATGACTATGCTGGAGTCCAATTTGTCAGAACTAATTGCATGATTTCACATCTGGAACTTTCTTCTCAACTTATAAAGAAGTTGCAACACTTTCTTACAACTGATAAAATTCCCAGCTTCCATGGTGGTAGACCCAGTCCCAAGTCCCAGTCAACCTCCTGTCTTTCAGCAGAGGCCTGCGTGTTGCTATGAAGCTGAACAGGTCGGGGGTGCTTCCAGTCTAAGGTGGACCAGGAAGAAAAGTCTACTGCTAAAAATTAGCCCATGAAAACCCACTGTAATAAGGGGTCACCATGATTCAGGGGGCCCACAAGGTTCTTTTCAAAGTCCTATGAGAAAAAATGTTATGATTTATTACATAATCAGAAAATATGATTTGGTGAAATCAACCTAGGAATCCAATTGCCAATTAAATAGTGGAGAATGAAAATTAGCCGGCTAGATAACACCATAGAGACCTTCTGGGCAAACACTCATTTGCCTGACTACAATTCACAAGAATAAGGAGGATCTCGCTGCTCATGATACAATGCTGCTACCTAGTGTTCGCCTCCTTACATTACAACCCAAAACCAAGCAGCCAAGGAAGGTTGTGGCAAAGAAAATGTACGCAAAAGAAGGGGTTTCTCATTCTTGTACTTGAACTTGTTATATGTAAAATCCATCTCTGCATCTTTCAATAAAATCAGACCTATTATTCCAAACGTAAAGGAGTCCTGGGGACCTAGTGGGCTACACACTGAGCTGTTCACCACAAGGTCAGCAGTTCAAACCCACCAGGTTCTCCACAGGAGAAAGATGAGGCTGTCTACTCCAGTGTGGATTTAAAGTCTGAAAACCCAAAATCCTGCCCTGTAGTGTTTACACGAGTCAGAAGCGAATTCATGGCAGTGAGATGCTAAAGGTAGAATTCAACATAATTTCTCTCCCATACAGGAGCCCCCTCCTCCCCAAAAGCCCATTCTGGCGACATTAACATCGCGAGACCTTCCCACGTGATGGCAACGCAGCCACCTGCAATGAACACAGTGCCCCAAGCTCCTTCCCGGGGGCCCAAGATCAGTCACTGGGGTGAAACTGACTCACTCACTACTCTAGGGGGCGCACACTGCCACCACCCCACCCCACCGGCCCCAGAGCTGTCTGCTGTGGTATGCCAGGTACTCACTCGGCTTTGCATAACTTCTGCCAGGCTTCATGGAATTTCACAGGGTCCTCATTTTCGGTGGCCTGCTCCAGGTCAATGGAGTCTATGCACTAAACACCCAAGAGATGCAAAGAACATTTCATTAAAGCAGAAACAGGGAACACAGGCCCCATCTAACACCAGGGCACATCATTCGATCATGATTGATGAGGCCAAACGCTGCCCTGGGCTCTGAAGAGCGAAAAGAACAGTCCTATCTTGTGGCTCTTACAACCTTCAGGCGTCCATACAAGCGTGCAACCACGGCGTGCTGTCCAAAGCAGAGAACGCTGTGGAAAGCCCCAGGCACCGCGACCAGAACCCTGGGCAGAAGACGAGGACAATGTGGGGGGGGGGCACAGGGGTGTTGGGGGAGAAACCTCAGGTCCAGGCGCACAGCACAGGGAAGAGAGCATTTGGCGATCACACAGAGCGACGCCTCGGGAGAGGTGCCACCCAGCTGGAGGAGAGACCTGGGAGGGAGCATGGGCAGAGGGGAGCCTGGGAGAAGAGCTTCGGTAAGCAGGGCGACAGAAACAGAGCGAAGGGTACTTTAGTAAGATCACTTAGGATACAGGTGGAACCTGAAGGGAAGACTGGCGGCTGGGCATTAGTGGGGAGTCTGCTGATGCAAAGGAGATGGCTCGTGCTTCCTTCGTCAGGTGGGTCTACTTGAGCCCCGCATGCAACAGGCACGTGCCCCGTCTGGGATCAAGTCAATCCCGGTGCACTCTTCTACGCTGCCTCATTGGGCTTCTCGGATGGCATCTTTACAAAGCAGTTTGCTGGGCCTTTCTCCCTCGAGGCCACTGGTGGAGTCAAAGCCAAGTGCTTCAGCCTGGCGGGGCGTCAGCAGCTCTCCTTATCGGGCTTGGGCAAGGGGGAAGAGGAAGTTTGTGTTTGCGGTGATGGAAGAGATAGTGGGGAGGATTGCACCTTTGCCTCGTTGGATCAAGTGGCTGATGCTGCACAAGACCTCTTGAAAGTGTTGAAAAGCAAGAAGGGTGTGTGTGTGTATATGTGTGTGTGAAAGAGATGCACACCTATGTTTATTGCTGCCATTTCTATAATAGCAAAAACTCCTATTATAGTGGAATGGATAAACAAACTCTGGGACATCCAGACAGTGAAATATTATGCATCAATTAAAAAAACAATGACAACTCTCTTAAACACAGAAAGACATGGCCCAAACTAGAGAACATGCTATTTATTAGCAAGCGTAGTCAATCTTACTGATATAAATCTATAATAACATCATGGTTACAAAGAAAAAGAAACTTGGTTTATCAACCAAAGGCCAAGACTTTGGTGATTACTAGGTCAGGGGAGGGGCTGGGAAGAGGGAGAGGGGAGGGATGGGATATTGAGGAAGGAATGGGGAGGGCAGAGGGAGAGAAAGAGAACCAGATACACGGAGGGTCTCACAGGATATTGGTGTTGATTTCATTTCCAGAGACGGGCTGTGTAAATCTAGATGCCAGTGAGATATAGCTTCCAGCATCACAGCAACAAGCAAGCCCCCACAGGCCAACAAACTGACAAACAAGTGTTAGGAACACTATTTCATAGCGGCCCGTGTCAATAAATTCCAATAAACGAAAAAGCTGCGCACATACTACTCCTTGTGGAACTAGGAAGTTCTATTTTAAGATACAAAATTGTGCCAGTTTTTAAAAATCCATACTACAGTCATTTTCCCTTGGGACGGGTATTTGGTTTTGGTGGAGAAGCTGGGAAACTGAAGGGTGAACAAGACAGGAAGTGAAAAATATGCTTTGAAAGGACAAAGCTAAAAAGTGATTCGAACAGAAAGGACTAGAAAGAGAATAGAGGAAAGCTTGTTTCTTTCTCTTTTTTTAGAAAAGCTTGTTTCTAAGAGGAAGTGACTCCAAAAAAAGGAAGTGACTCCATTGCTTGAACATAAAAATGTGTCTTTTTGCTCACTGTAGCAAAGTTGTATTCTTTAAATCAAGATCATAAGGCTCACTGAAACTGTGGTACCTATTGTGGTAGCTGAATAATGGTCTCAAAAAAAATGACATCCTTGTCATGGAACGGGTGAATATCACCTTGTATGGCAAAGACTGTGTGGCCATGAGTGAGGATCTGGAGATAGGGAAATGTTTCTGTTCTGTTCCAGAATTAAAACAAACAACCCTGGATCCTAAATAGAGGCACAGGAAATTACACACAGACAGAGAGAGACGAGGAGAAGGCAGTGTGATCACAGGCAGATTGGAGGGATGTGGCCATAAGCCAAGGAGCACTGGCAACCTCCAGAAACAGGACAATAAGCTGTTTAAATCTAGATCTAATTCCAGTGCTAAAAAGGAGGGGAAATGTACTATTTTCTTGGTAGCCCAAAACACAGTGCACTTTTAAAAAATCATGAAATACATGCTAAGATTGATTTCAGAACTTGTGCCTTATACTGCTCTCACTGGGAAGGCCTGCTTGTAAGATTGGGCCTGGCATCCGGGGCCTTGGATCTCCAAAAGAATCCCCCATTAACTGGCTAGAGTGGCTTCAACCATTTGTACAAACAGCATGGTTTCTGCTGAATGCTTGCTGTCCTTGTAAAAGCCAGGAATTTTGGAAGATGCTGGGTAGGAAGTGCCCCTGTGGTCAGCACACACACACACACACCCCCACACATACAAAGCCCTGGGCACTGAATTTCTAAAGAGTGTCCCTACTAGACAGTGATGTTCCACACGGGTTACCTGTTGCTGGGAAAACGAGGTGTGTCTTGGGCCACTCCACAGGGCGAGGATTTCGGAAGCTCGGAGTCTGGTTTTTCCCAAGCTTCATTAAACTCACCATTGCCCTTTGCTCACTTACTGCCTCCTTTGTTGTAATAAATCACAGTGACGAGTACAACTGTACAAGTGCTGAGTGGCCTGGGGGACCCCTGACACAACCCGCTTCTCTGAAACAGGACATATTGGGGTGGATGACAGAAAATATGACAGCCAGGACTCACCATGAGATTCAACTTGTAGTTGATGGCCAAGGCGGAGTGTTCCAAGGCCTTGAAGACTGAGACATAGCTGTCCCTGAGCTTGGTGTACTTGCCGACCAGGGCTATGGAGCATGATTTCTGTAACTTTTCATACCTGCAGAGGAAGACATCCTGACCGGTTAGAGGCACCCAATGCACCATCACAGATGTACCCAGGACAGCCCCCGTTCTTTATCCCAAACACGTGGGAAAGCCTGCAAGCACACGAGCTATACACTTGATAGCCTGGATTCCAAATCTCCCCCAGGTAACTAAAATCAGTAAGCCCCCAGCTTTTCCAAATCAGAAGAAATCCCAAAGCAGGTTGATTTCCCCGGCACAGATGGGGAAAACACAGATATCAATCTGAGGTCATGTTTTCAGGGGACATTGTAAAAGAAAATGCATTTTGCGTGGCAATAAGCACCATGCCAATCTTTACTTTGTAAGGTGACATTGCATAAGAAAAGGCATTCCGAGTGTCGACGTTAAAAATTGTTACGATCCCAGCTGGCCCACAAAAGTCTGGTTATTCATGATCCGCCTAACGAATGCTGCTGAGAGAACAATTTAACATATTACATGCCTGTTAGATCATTTTTATGAGGAGCTTTCCCTTGTCCGTATGATCCTTCAATTACATTGTAGACACAATCTTTTGTGTTGGTTTTGTCAGGAGATTTGTTCAAAGAAGAACAGGAGGAGAAAGGAAAAAACAACTAGTCTGGTCTGAAGTATATGCAAATTACCTCTTAAGGCGAAAGGGGTGTGAGAGCTTTGAAGGCAACCTTCCCTGCAGCCTCTGAGGACAACGCAGCCCTAGTGGGGAAAGTGCACCCGGAGCTATGCGCTCGCACAGTGACAGGGAAGGTGACTTCCTAGCAAGGTGACAGAAGTGCCCAAGGGAAGGCTGCCGACATGGAATTTACTGCTGTGTTTCATGGTGCTCAGGAGATTTCCCAACTGCCCGTGTTTCTTTCCACTTCCACATGCAGGATGCAAATCATAGAGAGGTAGGTGATATTCAGCAGGCGTCCTCAAACTACGGCCCGCGGGCCACATGTGGCCCGCCAAGGACATTTATCCGGTCCGCCGGGTGTTTTTGCCCCTTTTGTTTTTTTACTTCAAAATAAGATATGTGCAGTGTGCATAGGAATTTGTTCATATTTTTTTTAGCTATAGTCCGGCCCTCCAACGGGTCTGAGGGACAGTGAACTGGCCCCGTTTAAAAAGTTTGAGGACCCCTGATATTCAGGATCTGTGAGAGCCAAGCATCCCACGCAGCATCATCAGGGGACGATGCTTCCTGTCCCAGAATGTGATCGTGGCCCTCACACCACAGTTGACATGGTGGAGGGAGACATCAACTCTGTGCCCAGGAGGAAGCAGGGCCTGAGTGAGCCCGGCCCACCCCCTCACGTCTGAACTACTCCAGAGAGGAAGCAGCAGGTGGGGCCGATGAGTTCACTGGGGCACCATTGTCCTGGAAGGTGGCCTGGGCCTACAGGCTCAGCCTCGGGCCCTCTCCAATGTGCAGGTCAGGCTTCCCAGAGCACTTCTAGGCCAGCCAAGTGTCTAGCTCTTGCCTGGGGGCAATTTTCTTTTTAATTAAAACATCCCTATCATTAGTCATAACCACTGCGTATCTGTCAGTATGTTGTGCTGTGGCGGCTTGTGTGTTGCTGTGACGCTGGAAGCTACGTCACTGGTATTTCAGATGCCAGCAGGGTCACCCAAAGGGAACAGATGTCAGCGGAGCTTCCAGATGAAGAACAGACTACAAAGAAGGGACAGGCCATCCACGTCGGAGGCATTATCCACGGAAAAACGCTAGGGATAGCAGGGGAAACACTGTCAGACACGGAAAACCTCATGAATGGAAGCAAAACATTGACAGAGATGGTGCCAGAAGATGAGCCCCTCAAGGCAGAAGGCACTCACAATGACTGAAGAAAAGCTGCCTTCGCAAAGTGCAGTCGACCATCATCCTGCCACTGGGGGAAAAGCCTTCGGGATCTTCATTTGCTGGTGGGGCAAATATCGACTAATAATCAGAACTCAGAATGTTCGAAGTATGAACCAAGGAACATTGGAAGTTGTAAAAAAGGAAGTGGAACACATAAAACTCAACATTCTAGGCATCAGTGAGCTTACGTGGACTGGTATTGGCCAATTTGAATCAGACAATCATGGTGTACTGGGCCGGGACTGACAGATTCAAGAGGAACCATGTTGCATTCAGCTTCAAAAGTTTCCAATTTCAAAAGATTTCAGATCTCTTTCTTTAAAATCATTTTACTGGGGGCTCATACAACTCTTATCACAATCCACACATAAATCCATTATGTTGAGCACATTTGTACATTTGTTTCCCTCATCATTCTCATAGCATTTGCTTTCTACTTGAGCCCTTGGCATCAGCTCCTTGTTTTCCCCTCCCTCCCCACTCCCCCCTCCTTCACGAACCCTTCATAATTTATAAATTAGTATTTTGTCATATCTTACACTGTCCAACGTCTCCCTTCACCCACTTTTCTGCTGTCCATCCCCCAGGGAGGAGGTCACATGTAGATCGTTGTCATCATCCCCCCTTTGGAACGGCTCACCAACAACTTCAAGGGTGTATCCTGTCTGTGGTAAGATACTATCTATCCCCATTTCTGAACTTTGATCAAGCACTTTGGGAAGAACGAAGTAGTAATTAAAGGAAATGAAGGAGAACCATCAAAAGAGGCTTCCACTTAGTTGTTAATCACATTGTAAGTAATCATGGCGTCATTCCAGGCAGAAAGATTTTACAAAACAATTTGATTGCTAGTATTCAGAGACTCAAAGGAATTTTGCACTTAAGTGGTTGCTAACTATACTTATTCACGTGCCATCCCCCGATTTAAATTGATAGGAAACATTACTAAGGATTCGGTACGGTCTGAACCTCAAGGAGATCCCCCCTCAAGGGTGGGGGGTTCACACCAGGAGTCACCACCCGAGTGACACGCCACTGACCATGGGCTTTTCTTGACGCAAACTGGTTTTCAGATCTCTGTCCCTTGGAGCCAGTGAGTACCAACAAGCTTTTTAGTTAGCAGCTGTGTGTCACTAGGGCCCCCTGTAGAATGGGCTGTGAAGCCATGTAAAGATTGACATGGATTTTAATAGAACAGGTGAACAACTACACCTACAGAAAACTGAACGTGGCATGGCGACTCTTTAAATCAATCGCCCCACGCCGGACCCCAAGAATGACGAACAGATCATGCGAGCGATCGCTTTCACATACCTCTCAGCCAAGTTGCTCCATCTGGAAATCAAAGTGCTTGCAGCATCTATACAAGGCAAGTCCAAACGCTCTTTAAAGTACTTGACAATGCCTTGCTCTTCCAAAAGCACGGGCACGCGGTATATGGAGGAGACGTCATGGATACCAATTACCTGGTAAATGATGGCAAAAGACCGTGTTGGCACGAAACAGGCTCCAAATGGCCACATCCTGACAGACTTCGACTTGAGAAGGAGCCAACCCCAAGAGAGGCTGTGGCTGTTGATCTAAGTGGATTTGAGAGAGCCAGGAGCCCAGCCACCAGACTCGGAGTGAGAATTTACACACCGGGTGTTGGGGGTGGGGGTAGCTGCCATGAAGTCCCCCACCCCCTCACGAGGACTTCATTCACAATGGAACAGAACGCTGCCTGTGCCATCCCCAAGATCGCTAGCGGGGTGGGCGGTAGTGAGCCCTAGGGCTGGTTTGCCGAAGCAGATCTCACGGAAACTTGGTCAGAATCATGGCAACATGCCAAGCCTCCAGGGCTAGACCAGTGGTGTTGGCACGTGAGGCGTCAGCAAGCAAAGCCCAGGTGTCTCCCCCACTGCCCCGCCACTGCGCCCAGAACAGAAAGTTAGTTTAACTTCATTACAGAACCCTTAGAGGTTTGCTCCTTGCTCTGTGCACTGAGATACACTTACCTGCACGCCCTTGTTGATCATAATAAAATGAAGCACAATTGTTAGAGGAGACCCCAAAACAAACCCAACCCACTCCCTTCAAGTCAATTCCAACTCAGAGCAACCCTATAGGCCAGAGTAGAACTGCCCCATGGGATGTCCAAGGCTTCACAGACACCCACTGCCACCACGGTCTCCCTCGGAGTAGTGGCCGGGCAGCTGAGGCTGTTACCGTGGACACCTGGTTAGAGGGAACTCAAACTCAAAACTCACTGCCATCCAGTGGATACCAACTCACGACAACCCAAAGGACAGGGTAGAACCGCCTCTGTGCGTTTCTGGGACTGTAGCTCTTGAAGGGAGTCAAAAGCCTCATTTTTTTCCTGTGGAGCGGCTAACACCCCTTTCAGGGGAGCAGGCTCCCTTAAATATCAGGTGGTGTCTGGCTGTGGTTCTTTTCACACTTACCCTGATAGGCTCTCACTCCCCTCTCAACAACACCAAAGGGGGCGACATGGGCATTGAAGGGCTGGCCACATCCTAAGTCAATGCCAAATGGGCTCCCAACTGAAAGACTTCAGTCGTCTGACCTCCACAGCGATCACATGAAAGCGGCCTGAGCTGGTTGAATATGAAAACTGTGAGCCTCGTTGACCGTGCCTCATTGCCGTTCGAAAGCCCAGCTGTAACTGGCCACTTGCCCTGCCCCCTCCTGGTAGCTGACCCCGGCTGAGCGATGGCAGACACCCCAGTGCAGGGCCAGCCATTCACCCACCTCTCCCACCCCCAGCTACACACACACCTGCCCACTGCTTCTACTTCCCTCCTGGCCACCTCTCACCCAACACACTCATACCTGGCAAGGGGCAGTGAGACTAGAGGCCAAAGCAGCACACAGACTCCACTCAGGAACAGAGTCACGCAAAGAACCACCAACAGGACCCAGCGAACAAGCATACAATTAGTAAATATCCTAGACCTTCATAGTAGCTCAGACACCACGGACAATAGCCAGTCACCTCCCAAAACAGGACAAGAGGCTCCACCAAGTGACCAAAGGAAAAACTCTCAAAATTAAGACAGTTCAGTGTATCAAAAGCTCCTTCCCCACCCCCTGCAAAAAGTCAAAAGAGAACCCACAGACTGGGAAAAACGTTTGGCAACGACATATGGGACAAGAGACCCCTCTCGAAAAGGCACAGAAATAGGTCGACACCTCAACAAGAAAGAGTCAATCAAATTGAAAAATGGGCCAAAAACATGAACAGACCCTTCACCAAAGAAGATCGGCGGCCAACAAACCTATCCTGTTTCCCCGAAAATAAGACCGTGTCTTATATTAATTTTTGCTCCCAAAGATGCGCTAGGTCTTATTTTCAGGGGATGTCTTATTTTTCCATGAAGAATAATATAGTGCACATTTATTGTTTATCATTTTATTAAAAGAGACCTCGCACTTCCTGTCTGCTCCGGCTGTGCTGCGGCCAACAGTGAGCTGTGTGGCGGTGCCCGCTGCTCCGGTCCAGAGTCCAGAGTTACAGTAGCTTCAGGGGGCCTTATTTTGGGGGAGGTCTTATTTTCGGGGGGATGCCTTGTATTTCAGCGAGAGGCAAAACTGTGAGTAGGTCTTATTTTCAGGGGATGTCTTACTTTCGGGGAAACAGGGCATGAAGCCACGCTCGCAAACCTTAGTCTACTAAAACAACGATGAGGTATCATCCCACCCCAGCATTAAGAGTGATGTTACAAAGAGAAACCGACACACGATGGCAAGGGTGTGTAGGAGACCGGAACCCTCAAACACTGATGGTAAGACTGCAAGATGGGGCAACCAGTGGAGCACAGTATGTGACTGCCTTAAAAAGTTGAGAACAGAGATACCATATGAGCCAATAACCCCACTGCTTGGTATATATCCTAGAGATATAAGAGTTATGACGCGACTGCCCCTCGATGGAAGAAACCACAGCAAGTCCAACCCATGGATTGCCACCCCATGTGAAAGAATACCAAGGACCCTGCCAAACGCTTCATACCATGGAGCAACCTGGAGGATACAATGCTGAGTGAAATGAGGAAAGTGTCAGCCAAACAACAGGCAGCTCTACTCGTTACTAGTTACCATCTGAGAATGGCCAACAACTGGAGATCAAGGGGGGCAGCATTTGCCCAAGGACCAAGCTCAAGGGTTAGGAGTAGAGTGGAGTGGGGAAGGGGTGGTGGTGGTGGGGATGAGGGATGGTGCATCCATTGAGGGGATCGCAGTGGATGAGATGAAGGAAAATGTGTATGGAGTCTTAAGTGTAAAACGGACGTGTGGCTCGGTAAACCTTACCCAAGTCACAAGAAAAAGGTCTTTAAAAAATGAGAATGAATTGGGACCTTCCTTATCCTTATAATACAAAATGAACTTAGGAATCCTGAAAACAAAATAATTAAGTAGTTACACAAATGATTATTTATTCCTAGGAAACCCAACCCCACTGCCATCAAGTGGATTGTGACTCAAAGTGACCCTACATATGGTTGTTCAGACTACAAATCTTTCCAGGAGCAGACAGCCTCATCTTGCTCCCGAGGGGTGGCTAGTGGGTTTGAACCACTGACCTTTGGGTTAGCAGTCCAATGCCTAACCCACAGCACCACCAGGACTCCTTACCAATAGGGAGGATACCAAAACACCTGACCAAAACTAAAAAGGCTTGCCAACACATAAATGCCTATAACTCCCTGAAACCTGCCACCCCATATTTTACAGTCGTTCATTAAGGCTTATATTGAGGCGTCCTGGTGGCATCGTGGTTACTCATTGGGCTGCTAACCACCAGGTGGGTTAACCACTCACATGGGGCAAGTGAAAACCAGCAGCTAGCTCCGAAGGGGCTTTCTACTTTTGGTAAAAAGTTACTCACGTGGGGCATTTTACCTTGTCCTATAGCAGCAGTTCTCAACCTGTGGGTCGCGACCCCTTTCACCAGGGTTGCCGCATGCAGATACATCCACATATGAGTACCCGGTGTACCCCATGCTTCAAGACAACATTTCATTTATTTGTCATTAGAAATTAATATTTCACAAGATATAATGACATATTGTTTTGGTGATTCATCACTGTGCTTTAATTATATTCAATTTGTAACCATGAAAATACATCCTGCCTATCAGATATTTACGTGACTATTCATCACAGTAGCACAATGACAGTGATGAAGGAGCAAGAAAAATCGTGTGATGGTTGGGGGTCACCGTGACATGAACAACTGTGTTAAAGGGTCTCAGCATTAGGAAGGTTGAGAACCACTGTGTTTTAGGGTCGCTATGAGTCCGAATTGACTCCACAGCAGTGATTTTGGACGTGGGTTTGAGTCGGGCTGATACAGTGACTCAGAAGCTGGCAGCAAGCCGTTCTTTATCAGAGAGCCTCCTGAGAAACCCACTGAGATGGTTTCCAGGCTGCAGAGAACCCAGATTTCAACTGAAGAAAAGCAGCCTTGGGTCAAGAGTCAGTGCTTTCCTGCGTGCCACTTATAACTCAAGTCCGATCCCTTGTGCCTGAGGCTTACTGCAGACAAGAGCCAGAGATAAGAGAGCCAGGGGAAAAAGAATCGATGGCTCACCGACTGCCCAGGCGACCTGAGCCCAAGGTGCGAGACATTCTCTGCAGCGATGAGCTGAGGAGAGGCCGCTGATACAATCAGACGTGACAATGGGCATGTCAGGGTGCCTGTGTTATTTGCGATGACTTCAGGTGCAAAGCAGAAATCGCAGTAACAGCACCGGCATGTTCCAGAAAGATAGAATAAAGAGCTGATAAAGGGGTGTCACTCAATAGACGTTGACTGTGCATTAACGAGCCCACCCAGCTATAACTTAAGCAATGATTATGCAAAGCAGCACGCGTGCTCTCTAAGGCAGTGGAGTCTCTAGATGATTCACTAAAGGACGAAGGGAGCCATGGCTGGCTGGAGCCCCGAAAGCTTTTCTCAATGCTGTGGAGAGGAACCCCACCATTCAAGAGATGCATCATGGTGGCGTGGAGGCGGGGGGCAGGGGGGAGTGACCACAAAGCAACAAGATCTGAGGCACAGCACTAACCTGTTCAGGTTTCACGTGACAAAACATAGAAATCTTCTCCTTCAGGGCCATGTCTATGGGCGTTCTGCTTCTGCAGATAATCTGTGGACGGTGGGGAAGCAGAGTGAGTGGGCAGCCAGTGCGCCCTCCCCAAGCCCTGGGCACGTGCAGTCCACACAGGCACACTCTGGGGCACTGCTCTGCTCTGCTTTCAGAAACCGGTCTTTGCACTAGCTCAGCAAGTGTACTGAGGACTTGAAATGGCAATAGGCGTCTCGTGGGCAGAGCCACAACTCCTAAAGGGTGCTGCTTCAACTACAGGAAGCGAGCGGGAAAGCAGGACCAGGGGGCAACACACCGTTTTCTAAAAAGGATCAGACTGGAAAGGTCGGCAGGATCTCGGACTTGACTTCTCAACCAAACCCCACCCCAAACCCACTGCCATCAGGTCAGCTCTGACTTCACAGCGACCCCGTAGGCCAGGGTAGAACTGTCCCTGTGGATTTCCAAGACTGTAATTTTTTTTAAAGTCATTTTATTGGGAGCTCGTACAACTCTTATCACAATCCATCCATCCATCCATTGTGTCCAGCACTTTTGTACATTTGTTGCCCTCATCATTCTTAAAACATTTGCTTTCTACTTGAACCCTTGGTATCAGCTCCTTATTTTTACCCTCCCTCCCCGCTCCCCTCTCCCCCATGAACCCTTGCTAATTTATAAATTATTATTTTGTCATGTCTTACACTGTCCGATGTCTCCCTTCACCCACTTCTCCGCTGTCCGTCCCCCAGGGAGGAGGTTATATGTAGATCCTTGTAAT